CCAATGGGCCGTTAAGCACGACGACTCCGGCAACGACTTCGGACACCAGGAGGCCCGTGACGGTGAAGACACTCAGGGAACCTACTACGTGCAGCTCCCCGACGGCCGCCTCCAGAGCGTGAGATACGTCGTGGACGGTGATGACGGCTACGTTGCCGATGTCAACTACGAGGGCGAGGCTCGTTTCCCAGATTCCTTCGAGTCTGCTTCCTTCGAATCCCGCGAATACAGGCCACGATACGTCTACGACTCCAATGAGTCCAAGTAATCACTGAAGCAATATTGATAATGCCTTCCCGACAATAAAGAAAGAATATTTATCTATTTATATATGGAACTGATAAATTGCAATATAAAAATGCATGGTCGTTTGTTATATCCCAACAACATATAACTGATTTATCGTAACATAAATATTTCAGTGGTTACATGTCAGGTCTTAACAACCTAACGAATGAACCTTAAGCTGAGTTTGAAATACTATCAGTAATATCAAACAACAACGAGTTTAATAATGTTTTCTCTTACGAAGTCAGGAGAAATGACGTAAGGTAGCATGGTTCCAATTCTTATATCTCATCCTCATAAGATAACTGAGAGATACAAAATGCTTCAGGATTATTGATTCTGTTTCTTACACCTCCATAGGAATCAAATAAATCCACTAATACTGAAATCTGCGTTTCTCTCTCTCTCTCTCTCTCTGTATAAATATATAAAAATAAGTATATGAATATTTATTCACACCAATATCCACGCGCACACACACACAGTCACACACGTACACACACACAAACACACATATGTATGTATATATATTTATATACATATATGATTATATATACATATATATACACATATACATATATTTATAAATATATAAATGTGTGTGTATATATGTGTATACATAAATGTATATAAATATGTATATGTATAAAAAACCTACATGGTAATGTACGTATATATATATATACATATATATATGTGTGTGTGTGTGTGTGTAAGCATATATATGTATATATAGGAATATGGGTATACATATGTGTATATATGTATATATATATATTTACATATGTGTGTGTGTATAAACGTGTGTGCATGTATATCAATATACATACACACACGTTTATCGTACAAAGTATATTTATATTATAAATATGCACATATATATTATATATATATGTATATATATATATACATATGTGTATACACACATATATGTATGTGTGTATGTTTATGTGTATGTGTGTGTGTGTGTGTGTGTGTGACTGCCGCGATAGCACAGTGGTTAAACCACTGGACTCAAATTCAATTCCCCGTCGCGGAGGTCGTGAAAATGCCTGCGCTCTGACTGCTTGCTCGAGCCCTAGAAAACGACATATCGCTTTGAGAGGTCCAACGCAGGTATCGTAGGGGAAGTCACCGCCGTGGCACAAGTGTTAGCGTTTGATTAGGAAGGGCATCCAATGACACTGCCATGTAAACTCTCAATAGTTAATTGAGAGAGGCCTGTGTCCTGCAGGGGAATGAATGGCTGTTGAAAAAAGAAATATACATATGTATATATGCATGTAAATACACATACATATGTGTATATATACACACATACATATATATATATATATATATATATATATATATATATATATATGTATATATATATATGTGTGTGTGTATTTATATATATGTATATACATACATATATACATATTCGGATGTATGTATATATTTGAATATGCGCACATACATACGGAAACAATTTGTATCTTTACATATATGAGCGCGTGTGTGTGATTTTGCAGGCTTGTAGATATCTGGGTGTAAGCTCTCTCATTCTCACTTTCTCTTTCTGACTCTATCCTCATATTTTTTCAGTTGAGTGAGTGAGTGTACGTGTTTATTTATTGATATTTACAGTAACAAATTATAGTAACATATTTTAAGACATGTGGTTTCAGTTCTGTAATCAATCAAGTTCCTCTCAGACTTACAGTAACACCTATAAAAACGTTGTCCTTGAGTGACCTTGCGCCCCGTTTGCGCCAGTGTCGACTGTGTATATAATGTTCAGCAGTCGAGAGGTCGGTATCAGTAGCTTCTGAAACACCTAAACATGAACACCAAGGCACGTGAACCTAATAGTTTTGTATATAACGCATTATGCCTCAGATGTATTTGTGAAAGGTTCTTTTACTCGACGAGCCTTATCTAATTATTAAATCTCTTATTCCAGGTCTTCATCCTTCTGGGTCTGGCAGCCATTGCTGCTGCAGACAGTTTTGAATCCTATGAATACAGGCCACCACAGGTTAGTCATTTTAATAATTGAATATCATTCATTTCACCTTTTTTTATCAGATATTGCCTTTAACGTCTGTGTTCTCAGTGGTTCTGCGGGTTAAAGCACCTAGTGTTCCTAATCTTAAGTTTATCTGGTGCGTTCCTAACACACAGGAGGAGGGGGATACCGATGTCTACTCACCACAGTATTTTTAATACTATTTTTCTTATCGGTGAAAGCTACGATCATTTCCTTTGCAAAAACAGGGACGTTCCTCTGAGGAATCCTACGAGTCCGGAGAGGCCAAGTACGACTTCCAATGGGCCGTAAAGCACGACGACTCCGGCAACGACTTCGGACACCAGGAGGCCCGTGACGGTGAAGACACTCAGGGATCCTACTACGTGCAGCTCCCCGACGGTCGCCTCCAGACCGTGAGATACGTCGTGGACGGTGATGACGGCTACGTTGCCGATGTCAACTACGAGGGCGAGGCTCGTTTCCCTGACTCCTACGAGTCTGCTTCCTTCGAGTCCCGTGAATACAGGCCACGATACGTCTACGACTCCAACGAGTCCAAGTAAAGATTCCTTTAAGGGTGACCTATATTGTAAAGCATGTAAAACTATTTATGTATTTATAAATAAATCTGCATTGTAAAAAGAATTTGCGGGTATAATTTAGAAATCCGATATTTAGTTATCTAGCAAAAAATTAAATGCACTTACAGCGCTTAAATCAGTCCAGTTCATCACTTCAATCTCTGGCATAAGAGCAAAGAACATTTTTTATCGAGACTCCACAGCCTATGAAACAAGAGAATGCTAGATTTTGAACACACCCACATTTTCGCCAAATAAAAGGCCTATATTAGAAATAAGTTAGTATATCTTTATTTATGTGTGTATTGTAGACATCTGTTTTTCGTTTTCATATATTTCATCTACCTTGCACATATGCTCACAAAATTAAAGCGTATGTGTGTATAAACTTTATCCTAGAGCCAAATAAAATGAAAATGTGTGCGAATATACGTTGTGCATGTGCGCATGTGAATGCACGCACTCACACACACACGCATACACATATTTGTATGTATATATATCATATATACAAACATGTATGCACACACGCGCGTGTGTGTATATATACACATATCAGAGGGGGGAACGCGCTTTATAATATATATATATATATATATATATATATTACATGTATCTCCTGAACAAGGATTCAAATCCACTCACAGGGCGGCATGCAACAGAGAAAAAAACAAAGCACTACAGTATTCGACGCGACTACAATATTGTCTGACGCAGTGGCTATCATACCTTTTGGAAACGTCAATTATTACTCGAGAAGTAAACAATTTAAACATTATTCCTTAGACCAAACACTGAACTCAAAGCATCGTTCCTTTTATTACAATTAGAAGAAAAGCATTATTCTTTAGTAATTACGAGATTGGACATTATTTCTTTATTGTTAATAGGAAATATGGTATTTTTATTCTTTATAAAAAAAGAAAGAAATGTAGAGGTTATCACATGTATCTTTCAGCTGCTTCCTGGCTTTTGTTTCGTTACAAAGGAAAGTTGAGAAACTAGCCTCGCATTAAGAACTCCGTGAGGGAATCAGATATCCCTTCTCCAGTTTGACATAAAAATATTAAACTCTTCAAACTGATGGGTTCTTCTCTCTCGTAATGGAAGAGATTCGGGCTTTGTTGCTGCCCCTGCCCTGCAGTATTCATTTATTCATCCTTTTATTTATTATAATCATTCATCAATTTACTCCTAAATTTTACTGTTGGAACGTGCCTCACACCCCAGGGAACTTCATTACACACACGCATACGCACACACAAACACACACACAAACACACACACACACACAAACACACAAACACACACATAAACACACACACACACACACACACACACACACACATATATATATATATATATATATATATATATATATATATATATTTGTATGTAAGTTTGTATATGTATGCGCACACAGAGACACACGAAAAAAACACCCACCCACATTTATTTATACACATAATTATATATATATATACACCCAGAGATATATAAATAAGTATATACACGAAGACAATCACACATACAATCAAATTTGATCAATATTAATGACTTTACCTAAAAGCAAGAATAATCTTGGCTCTTTTAGGTAAGGGTCACCGTAATGTTTAATCAGTCTAGTTAGAAACGCGCTAGGTAACTACAGAACGCATTCCGACTCAAACGCACAAACCCTTGGGATGTACAGCTTTGGTATACAGACATGACTGCGTTATATACATTTGCTTGTGTATTTAGCCATCTATTTACGTCCGCTTGTTATCTTTGTATCTATATATATGTGTATGTGTGTGTGTGGTTTTGCAGCCATATAGATATCCGTGTGTAAACTCTCTCATTCTCACTTTCTTGTGTTTGATTCTAACCTTATATTTTATTCTACAATTTTATATGACTTGAGTGTATGTGTTTATTTATTTATATTTACAGTAACAGATTATAGTAACATAGTTTATGACGTGTGTATTCAGTTCTGTAATCAATCAGGCTCCTATCAGACTTGCAGTAACATTTATAAAAACGTTATCCTTAAGCGACCTTGCGCCACTTTTGCGCCAGAGTCGACTAAATATATTGTGCAGCAGTCGAGAGGCGTTATCAGTAGCTTCTGAAACACTTACCTAAACATGAACACCAAGGCATGTGAACCTAATAATTTTGTATATGGCGTATTATGCCTCTGAAGTATTTGCCAAATGTTCTTTTACTCCACGAACCACACCTAAATTTCATTAAATCTTTTATTTCAGGTCTTCATCCTTTTGGGTCTGGCAGCCATTGCTGCTGCAGACAGTTTTGAATCCTATGAATATAGGCCACCACAGGTTAGTCATTTTAATAATTGAATATCATACATTTGATAAAGAAATCGGATATCACCATCAAAGTCTGTGTTCTCAGTAGTTCAGCGAAACTTGTCCGGTGCGGAGAAGGATTCGGACCTGGACTATTCTTAGCACAAAGTAGGTGTTACCTACTTGCATGTCGAGGCTAGCCGTCATCCGACGCCTGCCCATTCTAATATTATCATTAGTGGTGAGCATTTCTTATCGGTGATATAGTCATTTCCTCTGTCTGCAAAACAGAGACGTTCCTCCGAGGAATCCTACGAATCCGGAGAAGCCAAGTACGACTTTCAATGGGCTGTCGATCACGAAGACTCCGGCAACAACTATGGACACCAGGAAGCCCGTGACGGTGAAGACACTCAGGGATCCTACTACGTGCACCTCCCCGACGGCCGCCTCCAGACCGTGAGATACGTCGTGGACGGTGATGATGGCTACGTGGCCGTTGTCAACTACGAGGGCGAAGCTCGTTTAACTGACTCCTACGAGTCTGCTTCCTTCGAGTCCCGTGAATACAGGCCACGATACGTCTATGACTCCAACGAGTCCAAGTAAAGATTCCTTCAGTAGTGACTTTGTGGTAAAGCATGTAAAACTATTTATATATTTATAAATAAACTTGCAAAGTAAAAACAATTTTTGATTATAGTTATGAAATCCTAAATATAAGATTAATCAGTCCCCTTCATCACTTACGCTCAGTTATGAAAACACCCAAATTGCCGCCAAAAAAAGACCTACATTAAAATTGATTAAGAAGGCCCCACTCTGTGCGTTCCTTTATATGTGCGTATATTGTAGACATCGGTTTTTCTCAGAATCTATTGCATCGACCGTGCACGCGTACACTCAAAAATGAATGTGAATGTGAATGCACGCACTCGCACACACACAACCACACACATTTGTATGCATATATACATACATGTATATACATATATACATATATGTCATATACATACATGTATACACACACGGACATACACACATATATGTAAGATGAAGTGACGCGCTTTATAATATATATATGTATATATATATATCCTCCCGGACAAGGAATTGAATCCATTCTCACAGGGTTGCAAACAACAGAGAAAAAACAAGTCACTACATGTAACTAAAATATTGTCTGACGCAGGGGTACTCTAACCTTTTCGTAACGTTCTCCGCGGCATTAGTCCAATAGATCACAATTACTCGAGAAATAAAGAAATTAGACATTATCCCTTAGACCAAACACTGAACTCAAAGCATCGTTCCTCTTATTGCAATTGGAAGCAAAGAATCATTTCTGCATTATTAATCTTTTTTTATTCTTTATTTTGAAAATGTAGGGGGCAGCATCTGTGTATTTCAGCTGGTTTCTGGCCTTTGCTTGGTTACAAACGAAAATCGAGAAACCAGCCTAAAATATATCAAATAGCCTCCGGGCTAGAACAGTGGTAACGTGTCAGCCTCTCATCCAAGGGGTCGGTAGTTTGCGCCAAATCCACCCAGGCGCGAGAAGTTGCAATTGTCGCCTGGAGGTTACTTCTGTGGCTGGGCACCACATCGGGTAAGGACTAAGCTCATCCGAGTCAGCACCAGCTGACACACGTTAGCGAGTCGACATTAGTCGACACAGACCGGGCTCCTCTAATGGGCATAACCCAGGTGAGGCTCAGCTTCGCATATCGGACTTATCTTTATATCAAACTCGATTTTTTCCGTCTCACAATTGAACAAATTCGGGATGTGCTGCTGTTATTCATCTATTCATTTATTATGGTTATTCATCAATATACTAAATGAGATATTACTGTCAGAATATGTGTCCCCCCTCCCCCCATGAAACGGCTTCATTACACCCAAACATATACATATTCATATGTAAGTATATATATGTATAGAAACACATTCATACGGAAACACACATTTATATATACATATACTTATACGAGTATATGTAGACCGATAATTATATACACAAAGACAGTCACACATAATTCAAAATTATCATTATTAATACCTTTACCTAAAAGCAAGAATGTTCTTGGTCCTTTTAGGTCAGGGTCACCGTAATATTAATCAGTCTAGTTAGAAACGCGCTAGGAACACATTCAGACTCAAACGAACAACGTACACATTTGGTATACAGGCAATGCCTGCGTTATATACATTTGTTTGTATATTTAGCCATCTATTAACATCTGGTTGTTATTTTTATGTGTGTGTATATCCGCATGTAAACCCTCTCTTTCTCTACTCTATCCTTAATTTTTTTCCAGTTTCATTTTACCAGAGTTTGTGTTTATTCATTTCTATTTAGAGTAACAGCTTATAGTAACATAGTTCAAGACGTGTGTTTCCAGTTCTGTAATCAATCAACCTCTCAGACTTGCAGTAACACTTATAAAAACTTTTTCCTTGAGCGACTTTGCGCCCCGTTTGCGCCAGTGTCGACTGTATATATTGTTCAACAGTCGAGAGGCCGGTATCAGTAGCTTCTGAAACACCTAAACATGAACACCAAGGCACGTGAACCTAATAGTTTTGTATATAACGCATTATGCCTCAGATGTATTTGTGAAAGGTTCTTTTACTCGACGAGCCTTATCTAAATATCATTAAATCTCTTATTCCAGGTCTTCATCCTTCTGGGTTTGGCAGCCATTGCTGCTGCAGACAGTTTTGAATCCTATGAATACAGGCCACCACAGGTTAGTCATTTTGATAATTTAATACATTTGACAAAGAAAATTCAAATAACCCCTGCAACGCCTGTTCTCTCAGTAGTTCAGCGGGCTAAGGCACCTAGTGTTCCTAATCTTAAGTTTGTCTGGTGCAGTGAAGAATATTGACCTCGACTATTCTTAGCACATAGGTGTTACCTACTTGTTTGTCTAGCCGTCGTCCGATGTTTGCCCACTACAGTACAATATACAATGTTGGCCATTTCATATCAGATCGGTAAAAGTCATTTCTTCTGTCTGCAAAACAGAGACGCTCCTCTGAGGAATCCTACGAGTCTGGAGAGGCCAAGTACGACTTCCAATGGGCCGTAAAGCACGATGACTCTGGCAACGACTTCGGACACCAGGAGGCCCGTGACGGTGAAGACACTCAGGGATCCTACTACGTGCAGCTCCCCGACGGTCGCCTCCAGACCGTGAGATATGTTGTGGACGGTGATGACGGCTACGTGGCCGATGTCAACTACGAGGGCGAGGCTCGTTTCCCTGATTCCTACGAGTCTGCTTCCTTCGAGTCCCGCGAATACAGGCCACGATACTTCTATGACTCCAACGAGTCCAAGTAAAGATTCCTTCAAGAGTGACCCTTTTGGTAAAGCATGTAAAACTATTTATATATTCATAAATAAACTTGCACTGTAAAGTCAATAATCGAATATAATTTTGAAATCCTATATATACTAACATATAACAACGAATTAAACCATTTACGTCGCTTAAATTAGGCTAGCTCATCACTTTAATCTCAAACATAAGGTCCTTTTTTATTCAAGACTCCTATGACCTACGCAGTAACACCCATGTTGTCGCCAAATAAAAGGCCTATATTAAAATATATATTAATCAAGAAGGCCCCATTTTGTGTTTCTTTATATATGTGTGTGTAGTATAGACATCTGTTTTTTTTCTGAGTATATTTCATCGACCGTAATATATCACCATTACTCGATGACATTTTAACAAACATACAAATAAAATGAACTTAAAGAATCGTTCCTTTTATTGCAATTGCAATTGAAACTTCTTTGTAGTTAGTAGAGAGGAGGAATTATCTAAGCATTATTAATAAGAAATATGGTATTTTCTTTGTCCTTTATTAAAAAGGAACAGAACACATCGCATATCAGCACCTACGTCTTTTAACTGGCTTTTCCTTGATTACTATCGAAAGCCGTGAAACCAACAATAAGTGATGACCACATTAAGAATTCTGTGAGAGAATAGGATATTCCTTCTCCAGTTTGGCATAAAAGAATATTAATCTTCAAGTTGATAATCAAATTCTAATGTTTTTTCCTCTCGCCATGCAAGAAATTTGTGTTTTGCTGCTGTGCCCCTGTCCCTCTGCAGTATTTTCAATTTCTTTATTATGACTATTTATCAATATACTCCCAGAGGTATTTCTGTTAGAAAGTCCCTCATTAACCCATCTCCCCTCCAGGAAACGACTTCATCACACCCAGTCAGACAACCGCAAATTCTAGACTAACTTGAAGGTCATTACTTATCTGCTCATATTAGTCTGATAGGGTATGTTGCAAATAAAGCCACATACAAATACATGATGTATCAAAACCTTTTCCTATTTACCCAAAACCCAGAGAACAAATTCCGATTCCATCTACTGATCTATTAGCTTTATGGTAATATCCATAAAGCTAGTCTAGACTAGGTCATATAGTGTAAAAATTTGGATCTGTTCTCCCTGGTGCTTATCGCCCTGTTAGAATGGGTTCAAATCCTTGTCAGGGAGGATATATATATATATAATATACACACATAAATGTATATATATATATATATATATATATATATATATATATATAATATACATATATATATATATATAATACACACACACACACACACACACACATATATATATATATATATATATATATATATATATATACGTATATACATATAAACATAAAAACTGGGTCGTCCTAAAAACAAGAGTGATGCTTGACCTTTTAGGTGAGGGTCACCGTAATATTTCATCAATCTGATTAGAAACGAGGTAGGTAACCATGCTATGCACGCATAGACGGATATGCTATTTATAAATGTGTGTATGCATATATACTGTGTGTGTATATGTAAATATATATATGTTCATATATATAGTGTATGTATATATAATATACATATATGTGTGTGTGTGACTGTATTTATATTATATATAACTATATATATATATATACACGTAAAAACGCACACATATATATACGGGCGTGTTTATATACAAATATGGACGTTGTATGTATATGTATATATATGTATATATATATTCATATATATACATATTCATGTAAGTATTTGTGTTTGTGTGCACTGTACATACTTTGTTTTTCATATAAGTATGTTGTGTTCAAATACCTTCATATTAACTCACTCTCGTGTACCTGTTTATGTTTTGATATCATAATTTAACCCGTATATATGCAATTCTGTAATCAGCCCAGCCCATCTTTTTTTCAGTAACATCTGTAAAAGATGTCCTTGAGTGACCTTCCGCCACCCTTGCGCCTGTGCAGACATGTATATATTGTTCAGCAATCGAGAGGGAGGTATCAGTATCCTCTGAAATACCTATCTCAACATGAACATCAAGGTATGTATACCAGATCATTTTTTTATGGGAGATTTTATACATGAGATATATCAGTATATTTCCTAAATTTCACTAATTTTACCTAAATTTTATAATAACCTTTATTTCAGGTCTTCATCGTTCTCGGTCTGGCAGCCATTGCCGCTGCGGACAGTTTTGAATCCTATGAATATAGGCCACCACAGGTAAGCTACTGAGGAGTAGAATAGTATAATAATATTAAAGAATATTCATGTTCCTTGCTCAACATTTTTTTATTGGTGACTTATAACTTTATAAACTATCTGATACAGAGACGTTCCTCTGAGGAATCCTACGAATCCGGAGAAGCCAAGTACGACTTCCAATGGGCTGTCGATCACGACGACTCCGGCAACAACTACGGACACCAGGAAGCCCGTGACGGTGAAGACACTCAGGGATCCTACTACGTGCACCTCCCCGACGGCCGCCTCCAGACCGTCAAGTACTTCGTGGACGGCGACTCCGGCTACGTGGCTGAGGTTAACTACGAGGGCGAGGCTCGTTTCCCAGATTCCTACGAGTCTGCTTCCTTCGAATCCCACGAATACAGGCCACGATACATCTATGATTCCAACGAGTCCAAATAGTTATTTTGTTTAGCTGACCACTGTGTGAAAACGAATCATTTGGATATTTTAGCCTAATGAGGGAAATTCTTCGACTGTATTTTATTTATATATATTTTTTTTTTATTATTTTATTTATTTTTTTTTATTTTTTTTTTTTTTTTTTTTTGTAGCTCTTCTTACTACCACTCCCCTTTCTGATTTCTGTAAAAGTTGAAGAATTATTTATATATTTATCAATAAATCTGCAAAGTAAAATGTATGTTTATATATGTAGTGTGAACCCTACTACTATGTCAATCTACCACCGTATGTATATATATACTGTATATGTATATGCATGTGTGAGTGTGTGTCTGTGTATGTACGTGGGTGTGTGCATATATAAATATATCCACACACATATATGTGTGTATGAGTTTGTACCTATACATAAATGTGTGGGTTAGTGTGTGCATGTATGTACTTGTATATGTACACGGAATTATAGAGATATATATGTTTATATATTTGAATATATATGAGCCTTAGTGAATAGGAAAGGTATAGCAATCAGCTATATAAAGAGACCATCCACTTCCTTTTCTAGATATGAATTAATGCTGATAACTTGATATCAAGAACATTTGATAATAAACAGAGACACCTACAAAAAATAATTAATTTCAGAAAACCAGCAAATGGATATGGCCCCTCTAGAAATAATGTATCATATCCATCTATCCATCTATAATTTACACACACACACACATTCATATATATTTTCATATATATACGAATTTATATATTCATACATATCTGTGTGTTTGTGTCTAAATACACACACATATATATATATGCATATGTATATATGCATGTGTATATATATGAACTCATGCGTATAACATGATATCATATATATATATATATATATATATATATATATATATATATATATATATATATATATGTATGTATGTATGTATGTAGGTATATATGTTTACATAAACACCCGCACACATATATAGATAGATAGATATATGTATATATGTATTCTTATATAGATATATGTATGTATGTACGTATATATACGTAAACACACATACACGCATATACAGACACACACATACACAAATATATATATATATATATATATATATATATATATATGTATATATATCCACATAAACACGCACACACCCATATATGCAATTGTGTGTGTGTTTGTGTGTTTGTGTTTGTGTGTTTGTGTTTGTGTGTGTGTGTGGTGTATGTGGTGTGTGTGTGTGTGTGTGTGTATGTATATATATATATATATTATACATATACATATATATACATATATATATATATATATATATATATATGAGTGTGTGTCTGTATTCGTTTATATGTATATCTATATCTATATATGTATATACATACATACATACACACACACACACACACACACACATATATATATGTATGTATATGTCTGTATATGTATATATACATAAATGTATATATATATTCGTATACACACACACACAAACACATATAGATATATACACTTATATATGTATATATTTTTTAGATATGTAAAGACACATACACACACAAATATGTATAAATATATACATATACACTCATACACATACACACACGCCCATATATGCATATATATTTATATGTGTGTTTGTATATATGTATGTATATATATATATATATATATATATATATATATACATGTATATATATATATATATATATATATATATATATATATATTCGTTAAATTTATATTTGCACACGCATACACACATATGTATATGCGGGAAGGAACATTTATGGGTGGCTGCATGTGTGTTGACATATTTGTAAGAAATTTAACAGATGTGCAAGGGTTTCTTCGCCATTCAGCCCCGCCCGGGTTTGTGGTAACTTCTGAGAAAAAAAATCTCTTTCCATGACCTTGCATCACATTTGCAACCACGCAGAGAAACGTGTATATATTCTTAGACAGTGAAGTGACCAGTATCAGTTGCTTCTGGAATATTCTCAATATGAACACGAAAGTAAGCTTACCGATTTTTTCAGTCGAGTATTTTACAGCCAAGTATTATGTCTGAAAAAAAAGTTTTCTACACTGTTCAACATTTCTTATTCCTATTTCAGGTCTTCATCCTTCTGGGTCTGGCAGCCATTGCTGCTGCAGACAGTTTTGAATCCTATGAATACAGGCCACCACAGGTTAGCTATTCTGAAAAATGAAATATTATATTTCAGTACGTGGAACTCTGCCTTTTTAGGCTTTTTGAATACCACATGGTTATTAATTAATACGTTAATACTCCATTTTCTTACAGAGATATTCTTCTGAGGAATCCTACGAATCCGGAGAAGCCAAGTACGACTTCCAATGGGCTGTCGATCACGAAGACTCCGGTAACAACTACGGACACCAGGAAGCCCGTGACGGTGAAGACACTCAGGGATCCTACTACGTACACCTCCCCGACGGCCGCCTCCAGACCGTCAAGTACTTCGTGGACGGCGACTCCGGCTATGTGGCTGAAGTAAACTACGATGGCGAGGCTCGTTTCCCCGACTCTTACGAGTCTGCTTCCTTCGAGTCTCGTGAATACAGGCCACGATACTTCTATGACTCCAACGAGTCCAAGTAATGATACATGGTCCTCACATGATTAGCTTATTTTATTTATATATTTATGTCAAATTCTAATAAACTTGCATAAATGGACTTCTAATCTAGTTTATCTAAATACAGTATATATATATATATATATATATATATTCGTTTATATGTATATTTATATATATACATACATATACACACATACAAATGTATATGTATGTATGTTTATGGATATATATTCATAAAATGATACATATATATATTCGTTTATATGTGTACCTATATCTATATGTGTATATACATACACACACACTCATATATATGTATATATCATATATATCTCAAATGTGATGTTATTTGTAAGAGGTAGGACATAAATAACAAATACTAATGCAATATGAAAGGAGCATTATAAGCAGAATATATGTGTAACCTTGCAAAGAAATCAAAGCGATAAATATGGCCTAGACATTTATACTATTGCGAAATCCAGGGTAAAATAATGCTGGAGAAATGGTAGACGGACACGGACTTTTTAAACTTTGTTCGTTAAATTTATATTTGCACACGTATACACACATATGTATATGCGGGAAGGAACATTTATGGGTGGCTGCATGTGTGTTGACATATTTGTAAGAAATTTAACAGATGTGCAAGGGTTTCTTCGCCATTCAGCCCCGCCCGGGTTTGTGGTAACTTCTGAGAAAAAAAATCTCTTTCCATGACCTTGCATCACATTTGCAACCACGCAGAGAAACGTGTATATATTCTTAGACAGTGAAGTGACCAGTATCAGTTGCTTCTGGAATATTCTCAATATGAACACGAAAGTAAGCTTACCGATTTTTTCAGTCGAGTATTTTACAGCCAAGTATTATGTCTGAAAAAAAAGTTTTCTACACTGTTCAACATTTCTTATTCCTATTTCAGGTCTTCATCCTTCTGGGTCTGGCAGCCATTGCTGCTGCAGACAGTTTTGAATCCTATGAATACAGGCCACCACAGGTTAGCTATTCTGAAAAATGAAATATTATATTTCAGTACGTGGAACTCTGCCTTTTTAGGCTTTTTGAATACCACATGGTTATTAATTAATACGTTAATACTCCATTTTCTTACAGAGATATTCTTCTGAGGAATCCTACGAATCCGGAGAAGCCAAGTACGACTTCCAATGGGCTGTCGATCACGAAGACTCCGGTAACAACTACGGACACCAGGAAGCCCGTGACGGTGAAGACACTCAGGGATCCTACTACGTACACCTCCCCGACGGCCGCCTCCAGACCGTCAAGTACTTCGTGGACGGCGACTCCGGCTATGTGGCTGAAGTAAACTACGATGGCGAGGCTCGTTTCCCCGACTCTTACGAGTCTGCTTCCTTCGAGTCTCGTGAATACAGGCCCCGATACTTCTATGACTCCAACGAGTCCAAGTAATGATACATGGTCCTCACATGATTAGCTTATTTTATTTATATATTTATGTCAAATTCTAATAAACTTGCATAAATGGACTTCTAATCTAGTTTATCTAAATACAGTAGAAAGATAATAAATATATATATTGTCATGTGACAACACAAATACACCAGCGTCCCCAGAATTATTGTAAAAATACAAATTTACCTACATTCCAATGGAAAATAAAATTTTCTCCGCAATCGCTTATGCGGAGAAAATTATCTATAGTATATATACTGTATAGACACATACATTATATATATATGTGTGTGTGTATATATATGTATATATATAAATATATATATATATATATATATATATATATATATATATATATATATGTTTATGTATATATATAAACATATACACATATGTATACATATACATGTAATGGCCGTTTTGGGTTATGGCATAGTTTTGTATTGAGCGGTAATCTTTTAGCGTGGCCTTCACGAATGCACTAGAAAGAATTCATTTTCGTGACCAATTTCCACCTTCATTCTGATGTAGTGAGGAACTGTGTAATATTGTAAGGAATATGTGAACAAAATTTCCATCATATAAAGGAATGGAAATACCAATATTTTCGTTCGTACTCGAATTCTTTTGGACCGCCGTAGGGGAACCGCTCGGCGTTCTCGCCCTCACTTCTCTCGGCTTTCACGGAGATCAGGGGATGTGGCGGTCAAGTTTAATTGGATATTCGATTGGTAATCTCTCTTCTTTCGGCTTTCACGGAAAATGTAACTCACAGTAATTATCGCCCGCAAGACGCCGTAGGGACGCCATGACTTTTTCCCCGAGCTTTAGTGTTTTCTTTGATACTGATTGACTTTCGCCCATTTGTTTTCTGTATGATCATGACTTAGGCTTATAATATGATGATTTATGAAACCTTTGCTTGTTTTATGTTCCCAGGGGAAAGTTAGATAATTTTTTAGGAATTAATTTTGATTCGTTTCGTCTTTTGTCTACAAAGAAGTTAAGTTGGATAGAATAGATTTAGACGTTAATTATAATTTATTTATATTTTACAATATGTATTCACACCAACATGTACATATATCTAAATTTATCATTTCTTATCCCTTAATTTATGATGCAAAATATCTAGCTGGCTTTCCCACTCATCATGATTGTATATAATTAAATCAGAATTTAATTTGGTTTGGTAGTTATTCTGCATGTTCTGTTATTATTGATAGTCAAACCACATATGACCCTATGTATAATTTCTGCCATATTTTATATAGATTGCAAATTTCTGATATTTTACACTTTTACCTTATAAGTCTTCTAGTCAAAATAGATAAATAACATTATCAAGAAACCTGTGCAAATTGAAGTTCTCTATTATATGAGCATTTATATTGCTCATATTAACGTCCTTTAGCCTCGCCTGTGTCACTCTTTTGTCAAGTTAATGTTTCAATAACTTACTATATTATATGATATTTAGCCATTCATTTGAGTGTATTATTTGATGTATTATTACCTGAAATAAATTACGCCCGAAACGTCTGCTTATTTTCTACATAAAACGGACCTCAGTACAACGTTTAGTCTGAGTCTACTAATGATGATCTTCGTAGCATTAGTTTTTATTAATTCTTATATATTTGTGCATATTTATTACACACATATATATGTATACACACATCTCTGTCTAAATACACACACACTCGCACACACACACACACACACACACACACATATATATATATATATATATATATATATATATATATATATATGTGTGTATATATATATATATATATATACATATGTGTGTATGTATACATATATATATATACACACATTTATAAATATATGTAAGTTTAATAATTTCAAAATTCGTAATTCCTTCTGTCTCGTATTCTTACATTTCTTCTGATATCTAGTACTCAAGTTACAACTCATGTTACACAAACGTAAGTAACTTTTCCACATTTCATGGATTGTGTCATCATTCACTTACAATGCATATTACATATTTAGAATATCGCTCAAGTATCTAATCTGAATAACTGATGAGATAAAACACATGTTTTAGATATGTATGCAAATATGTGACCATGTGCGTCTATATATATATATATATATATATATATATATATATATATATATATATATATATATATTCATTTATTCATTATATTTATTTATTTATTATATGTATCAACAAACATAAACATGAACTTATATATGTATAAGTATATATATATATCACATACACACACACACATATATATGTGTGTGTGTGTGTATCATATATTTACACACATACACATAAACACACACATATATACGTATATATATATATATGTATACACACGCACGCCCACCCACACATGCACATATATATATATATATATATATATATATACATATGTATGTTTATATGTGTATATATATATATATGTACAAACATATACACATATACACACCATACATATTTATATACATATAAGTATACTTATACATATGTATACACACATGCACATATATACATATACATATGTATGCTTATATGTGTACACACACACGTGTATATATACATATATATAGCTGTGTGTGTTAGTGAAGTTGTTTTATCTCATTTATACAGTTTCTACACATCCAGACTCCCATCCATACATATGTAGATACAGATGCCAAAATAGATAGACAGACAAGCATATATAGACTGCCAGATAACTAGATAGTTAGGAAGATAGATACAAGGCTATGCCATATGGAACATAGAGCTCCTCCCTCAGAAACAGAGATAAAAAGACTCCCTTGATTCTTCTTGCGCCATAATCCCGTCGGCGCAGAGATATAAATTGGTCGGCGGCAGAACGGCCTGCATCAGTTTCTTCTGGAACCGACAGTCAACATGAACGCCAAGGTCCTCATTCTCCTCGGTCTGGCAGCCTTTGCCGCCGCAGACAGCTTCGAATCTTACGAATACCGACCACCTCAGGTTGGTTATTTGAAAACATTGTCGTTGTTAGTTAGTGATTAATATTTGGATAGTTTAAGTGCGTGTGCATATATATATATACATATATATTAATGGATTGTGCCTATCCTTTAATTCGCGTCCTAAATTATTATAATTAACACGCTTTTACGGTCCATGAAACAGAGACGTTCATCTGAGGAATCCTACGAATCCGGAGAAGCCAAGTACGACTTCAACTGGGCCGTCAGCCACGATCCCTCAAGCAACGAATTCGGACACCAGGAGGCCCGTGACGGCGACCACACTCAGGGATCCTACTACGTGGAGCTCCCCGACGGCCGCCTGCAGACTGTCAAGTACTTCGTGGACGGCGACTCCGGCTACGTGGCTGAGGTCAACTACGAGGGCGAGGCTTCCTTCGAATCCGGTTCATCCGAATCCCGTGAATACAGATACGTGTACGACTCCAACGAATCCAAGTAAAGAGGAAATGATGGACCAGCCTGGAATAATGAATATCTTGTAAAGACCTATTTATGTATTTATAAATAAATTTCCACAAAAGAAGTGCTTAGAATAATATTACCCATCTCATTCTAGCAATTTTTGTAAGGTTGTTATATATTGGGACCCACACTTTTTTCCACACTTTTATTTTCTTGTGAAGCAGAAATAGTTTCTTTTCTAAATACAAACCAAATGAAAAATACATATGCTTTGAAAATCGGGCCAAACAATTAATTTACAGTAAAATTAATAATAACAATATTTAAGATAATAACATTGATGACGTTAATACATAACTTAAATCCGAAATCTTCCTATTACAGACCCTGAAAGTTTTTAATCAAATCCTTTCTAGAGCTAGATTTCTAAATACAAAGGATAATCTATAACCCACGCATACCAAGACAGTACGAGATGCTAATAGAATTGACAGGAATATGCAATTTTAACCAAAAGGTTACCTTCGTTATCAAAATATATTTTTTATTACTGTAGTGAATGCATGTATATACGTGTTTGAATGTGCTTTGTATATATAAACAGACACACACACACACACACACACACACACACATATATATATATATATATATATGTATATTACACATATGTATATATGAATGTGAATATATATGTATATATATACATATATATATATATATATATATATATATATATATATACATATATATTACGCATATGTATATATGACTGTGTATATATAAATACATAAATGAATATACATACACGCACAGACACGCACACACACACACACACACACACACACACACACACACACACACACATATATATATATATATATATATATATATATATATATATATATGCATGTATATATATCACATATGTATAAATGAATGTGGATATATATGTGTATATATACATTACGCATATGTATATATGAATGTGTATATATAAATACATATATGAATATACATACATACTTATATATATATATATATATATATATATATATATATATATATATTCATGTGTGTGTATACATTTATATGTATGTAAGTCTTTGTGTCTGTGTTTGTTTAAACATATATGTGTGTATGTGTATGCGTGTGTGTATGTGTGTGGTTTTATGTGTATGTATTTATGTGTAAATGCATGTAAGGATATATATGTATATGTATATATACATTTATATTTATACATACATATATATGCATAACTTATAAATAGATAGATTGATAGTCATACCTATATATACATATATGTATATATATGTACATAAATATATATATACACACATCTGTGTTTATATATATATACGTTTATATATGTCTGCATGTGTGTGTGTGTTTGTATGTGTTTATATCTTTCTATTCATCTCTCTAACTACACAGACACATACACACACACATATATATACATATATACATATACATGTGTATATATATATATATATATATATATGTGTGTGTGTGTGTGTGTGTGTGTGTGTGTATGTACACATACACATATATATACATATATACATATACATGCGTATATATGTGTGTGTGTGTATGTGTGCGTGCGTGTATGCGAGTGATTGTTATTAAGGAATTACATAAATATGGGACGGTA